AGTCCTGCCAAACTACTTATGGGCCGCCGCCTCAGATCTCCACTTGACCGGCTGCACCCGGACTTTCCGTGGCTGAGTCCCCGTGCTGTGCTAACGCGCCACGGTCCTTTGTTCCAGGAACCATTATGTTCCAGGAACAGTTACCTTACGAGAGATGGCGCCCCCGGGTTTCTCCGTCCTCCACCAGTCGCGGACTGTGGGCCAAGAGGGAGGGGTGGCATTATTAATCCGGGAAGATTGTCCTTTCAGGGCTCTACCATTGCCATCGATCCCCGGCATTGAATGTGTTGGCCTAGTGTGGGGCTCCGACGAGAGCTTGGCTGTCTGGCTGGTGTACCAGCCACCTAGCGCACCAGCAGCCACCCTGTCAGGCCTATCAGAGGCGGTGGCCGGCTGGGCCTTGGAGTTCCCTAACCTACTGGTATTGGGGGACTTCAACATCTATGCTGATGCCACTCCCTCCTCACAGGCTCTGGATCTGGTGTCTTCCATGGCGACACTAGGGCTCTCCCAGTTTGTTTCGGGCCCCACACATCAAGCAGGCCACATGCTGGATTTGATCTTTGGCGTAGGTATAGAGAGCCAGTGTGGTGTAGTGGTTAAGAGCGGTAGTCTCGTAATCTGGGAAACTGGGTTCGCGTTTCCGCTCCTCCACATGCAGCTGCTGGGTGGCCTTGGGCCAGTCACACTTCTTTCAAGTCTCTCAGCCCCACTCACCTCACAGAGTGTTTGTTGTGGGGGAGGAAGGGAAAGGAGAATGTTAGCCGCTTTGAGACTCCTTAAAGGGAGTGAAAGGCGGGATATCAAATCCAAACTCTTCTTCTTCATGTGATCATGTCTCCTTCGATGAAGGTGCCATGGTCTGATCACTACACTCTGAAAGCCTGGATTGACTTTCCACCCCCACCCTGCTTAGGTGGTGAGCCAATTTGGGCTTGCCCGCAGAGGCTGATGGACCCTGATAGATTCCGCCAAGCCTTGCGGGACCTTGCTCCCCCTGGCGACTCATTGACTGAGCTTGTTGAGGGCTGGAATATCCAGCTCCTGGCAGCCATCAATGAGATCGCACCTAAGCGCCCTCTGCGACCCCGCAGAAACCGGGCTCCCTGGTTTACCGAGGAGCTCTGGAAAATGAAGCGGGACCTCAGCCGGCTAGAGCGAGTATGGCGGGGTGCCCGTGACGGAGCCTCAATAGCATCTTATAGGGCTTTTATGAAAACCTACGAGATGGCGGTGAAGGCTGCTAAGAAGTCTTACTTCTCGGCCTCCATTGCATCCGCTAGCTCTCGCCCGGCGCAATTATTTAGTACAATCAGGTCTTTAACGTCCCTTGAGGGACAGCCAAATTTAAATAACAATTTGACACACAGCTGTGAGGTATTTGCGAGCTTTTTTGTGGAGAAGGTCTTGTTGCTCCGCCATGACCTCCCTGCCAATTTGGATACAATAAAGGAACTGGAGGCCCCTCGACTGTCCTCGGGTCCAGTATTGGACCACTTTGACCGGATATCCCCAGCCGATGTGGACAGACTCCTCCGAGCTAGAAAGCCCACCACCTGTCCTCTCGACCCGTGCCTGTCTTGGCTGATTAGAGCGTGTGCAGACGAGGTGCGGGCCCCCCGGGGGGATATCATCAATTTGTCCCTTGGCACCGGGACATTCCCAGGGGAACTGAAGGAGGCAGTGGTGCGCCCGCTCTTAAAGAAAACATCATTAGATCCCTTAGATCTATCCAATTACCGCCCAGTTTCGAATTCCTGGGTAAGGTGATTGAGAGAGCGGTTGCTGAACAGCTTGGTGGGTTTCTGGATGAAACATCTTTATGCGCCCCCTTGCCCGGAGTTTTGGAGTGAGTTGTCATCAATATGCTGATGACACCCAGCTTTATCTCTCAATAGATGGCCATCCTGACTCGGCCCCAGACACACTGATCAGATGTTTGGAAGCTGTGGCTGGATGGTTACGTGGGAGCCGGTTGAAGTTAAATCTTTCGAAGACAGAGGTCCTCTGGCTGGGACGGGACGATATGGAATTGAGGGGGCAACTCCCATCTCTTGCGGGGCTGCAATTAGTGCCAGCACCGTCTGTTAAGAGTTTGGGTGTAATCTTCGATAGCTCCCTCTCCATGGAGGCGCAGATTACAGCTATAACAAAGGCAGCATTTTTTCAGCTCCGCCAAGCTAAACAGTTGGCTCCTTACCTCTCTCGCCCTGACCTAGCCACTGTGATCCATGTGACGGTCACCTCCAGACTGGATTATTGTAACTCGCTCTACGTGGGGCTGCCCTTGAGACTGACCCAGAAACTCCAGCAGGTGCAGAATGCCACGGCGAGACTCCTTACGGGGTCTTTGCTGCAAGATCACATTCACCCGGTGCTATACCAGACACACTGGCTCCCGGTGGAGTACAGGATCAGGTTTAAGGTGATGGTTTTAACCTTTAAAGCCCTATACGGCTTAGGACCCTCGTACCTACGGGACCGCCTCTCCTGGTATGTACCACAGAGGAACTTACGGTCTTCAAATAAAAACATCCTGAAGGTCTCAGGCCACAGAGAGGTTAGGCTGGCCTCAACTAGAGCCAGGGCTTTTTCGGCTGTGGCTCCAATCTGGTGGAACGCTCTGTCACAAAAGACTAGGGCCCTGTGGGATTTGACCCAGTTATTCTCTCTGCAGTCTTTACAACCCTGGACAGCTCCCGCCCCCCGACCGTGCAGCTCCCAAACCGCACACACAGACTGTAAGTTAATACACTCTCATCAGTACAATGGTAAAATGCCATCAACAGGTCCTTTGAAAGATTATTTTTCCAGAGGGTTCTCAGAAAATATAACCTCTGCTGTGCTCTCTTCATAAGGTCTTTGATGTTTTCTCCCCAGGTTAGGTCATCTCTCAACTCCATTCCCAGAAATCCAAACACCAAGACCTGTTCCACACCCTTGCCCTCAATAATAAGTCGCTGAATATTCAATTTACATTTCCTAAAGTCCACAATAATCTATTTTGTTTTCTTTAAGTTAAGAAGTAAGCTGTTTTTCCTGCACCACTCCCCCAACTGCTCAACTTCCTTCCTATAGGCCGCCTCCCCCTCTCCAGCCGTGATTAAACCAACTACCGTTGTATCATCTGCAAACTTAATGATCTTATTACTGGGATTTGGGGGGGCCCAGTCAGCTGTATAGAGTGTATATAAAAGCGGGCTCAACCACGCACCCCTGCAGCGTTCCCATATTCATGATGAAATCCGCAGAGACGTGGGAACCCATCCTGATCCGTTGGGAACGGTTTGACAGAAAATCTAATACAGTGGTACCTCTGGTTAAGAACTTAATTTGTTCCGGAGGTCCATTCTTAACCTGAAACTGTTCTTAACCTCAGGTACCACTTTAGCTAATGGGGACTCCTGCTGCCGCTGCTGCCAGATTTCTGTTCTCATCCTGAAGCAAAGTTCTTCAGGTATTATTTCTGGGTTAGCGGAGTCTGTAACCTGAAGCGTCTGTAACCTGAAGCATCTGTAATCTGAAGTGTTTGTAACCCAAGGTACCACTGTATCCACCTGCACAAACACGGTGAAAGTCCCAGGTCTAATAGTTTGGGCAGCAATCTATGGGGAAGAATAGTATTAAACGCAGAACTAAAGTCTACAAATAACAATCTTGCCCTTGCTTCTCCAAATGAGTCAGGACAGCATGTAAAACTATTTGCCACAGCATCCTCTGTGGATCCCTTTGCCTTGTACACAAACTGGTAAGGGTCAAGTCCCACTGGGGAAACAAGATATGATGCGGTTCCTCAACAGACTTTCAAAACATTTCATTATAATGGGTGTCAACACCACAGGGCGAAAATCATTCAGACTATCTTTGTTTTTTTGGCAGGGGTATAATGGTAGCAGATTTCAGACAGGGTAGAACAGTGGCTTGGGCCAGAGACTGGTTAAAAATCTTCAAAAAGATTCCTGCCAGTTGGTCGGAACAATCTCTTAGCACCCTGCCAGCCACCCCATCCGGGCCCATAGCCTTCCTTGTGTTTACCTCCTTTAATATTCGTCTCACTTCTCCCTCTTCTACCCTGGCAGCATTTCTTAATATGGCCCTCTTAATATGGCCAATCAGAGGCAGCTTTCCTTTCCAGAACTGTAAAATCCTTCCTTTATGCGGACGTTCAGGAAGGATTTCACGGATCTGAAAAGGAAACCTGCCTCCGATTGGCCATATTGAGAGGGTACCAGCGAGGCTGAACATTTGTGTCAAAAAAATAAAAAGGGTTTAAATCAAGTCTTACTGACTAGTGATTTAAATAGTGATTTCAATCGATTCAACTGAAATCAAATCCATCCTCAATAATAATGATGATTTATTTATACACCGCCCATCTGGTTGGGTTTCCCCAGCCACTCTGGGAGCCTCCCAACAGCATAATAATAATAATAATAATAACCCTATCCCTAATCCCTAAGTCCAGCCTCACTGGCACCCTCTTAATATGGCCAATCAGAAACAGCTTTCCTTTCTTTAAGCAGAGGTTCAGCCTTGCTGGCAACCTTCCTAGAACCGATACCCCTAACCCCTATATCTATCCCTATCCCTAATAATAATAACCTGCCCATCCAGCTGGCTTTCCCCAGGCACTCTGGGCAGCTCCCAACACAAGATGATGATGAAGAAGAAGGGGAGGAGGAGGAGGAGGAGGAGGAGGAGGAGGAGGAGGAGGAGGAAGAACCCTATCCCTAACACCAAGTCCTATACCTATCTCTATCCCTATTTATAATAATAATATTAATTTATTCTTTATACCCCAGCCACTCTGGGCGGCTCCCAAAATAAAATAAAATAATAATAATAACCCTATCCCTCATCCCAGCTTCGCTGACACCCTCTCAATACGGCAAATTGGAGGCAGGTTTCCTTTCCTTTACAGAGGTTCAGCCTCGCTGGCAACCCCCATGACACTGGAAACATTTGGTAGAATTAAAGCCAGGGGTCCCCTTTTCGCTCACCAGCTCGCGCTGATCCTCCTGGACCAAGTCCATCTTGTGGACCAGGCAGAAGACTTTGGCATCAGGCGAGTTCTGCAAGATGGCCTCCAGGCACGACTGGTAGTAGTGCATGTCCTTCTCAAGCTCCCGACTCTCGACGTCAAAGACGTAAATCAGAACCTCGACGTTGCGGAAGATGTTGTCCCTCTGGCTGGTGAAGTAGTTCTCCATGAAGGTGTCCTGGCTGAGAAAACCGGGGGATTTAAATTATTTTATCCCAGTTAAAAAAGCAGTTTCAAATTTCAATTCTATGCCAATTCAGAACAGGTTTGACCGGTCTCAGTCGGGGAGGGCAGGATACAAATAAAAGTTTTTTATTATTATCAATTTTCCAGGCTGGGCAACAAATTGAGGCCATTTCATGCCATTTCAGAGGGGGCTAGCAAGGCGGAACCTTTCTGAAAAAAGGGGTTTTTTTTATTTCAAAAAGTATTGTCCCTATTCAGAGGTTGCCAGCAAGGCTGAAGATTTCGATTGGATTTAAATGTTACGGACCAGGGATTTAAATGGTGATTTAAATCAAATCCACCCAGCATATCAGTGTAAAAACCACTCTGTGAATTGAGGATTCCATAAAGGAAACATTTCTCCGCTTGTCGATATTCAGAGGATGCCAGCAATACTGAGTCTTCCTGCTGAAAAAGGCATCTTATTCTTCCAAAAAGGAAACCTCCCTCTGCTTGTCCATATTAAGAGGAGGCCAGCAAGGTTGAACCTCTCTGTAAAAAAAGGGATTTTTATTACAGTGGTACCTCGAGTTAAGTACTTAATTCGTTCTGGAGGTCTGTTCTTAACCTGAAACTGTTCTTAACTTTAGCTAATGGGGCCTCCAGCCGCCACCGCGCTGCTGGTGCACGATTTCTGTTCTCATCCTGAAGCAAACTTCTTAACCAGAGGTACTATTTCTGGGTGAATGGAGTCTGTAACCTGAAGCATATGTAACCTGAAGTGTATGTAACCCGAGGTACCACTGTATTCCAAAAAGGAAACCTTCCTATGGTTGTCCATATTAAGAGGATGCCAGCAAGGTTGAACCTTTCTGTAAAAAAGGATTTAATTCCTTGCTGACTACTGATCTAGATCATGATTTATATCAATTTGATTTAAATCATCATTATTATTATTAGCATTTTATTTATACCCCGCCCATCCAGCTGTGTTTCCCCAGACATCTGAAGGCAGCCATGTTTAGGGAAGTCTGGCTGATTTAAATCCGGAATCGAATGGGGATTGAAATGAGAAAAATCAGGATGAGAAGGATGCCAGCAAAATCTGAGCTGTCCTGGCGAGAGGTTTAAATTGTGATTTCCATTGTCTGGATTTCAAGCAGAGGGCAGGCGGCCGTCTGTCCAGGATGTTTGAGGCGAGAGTCCCGCCTGGCGGCGGGTCAGACTGGATGACTGCCGGGGGTCCCTTTTACCATGGCGAGGGGGGCAAGAGGTACTTACCCGCCGCAGTCCCAGAGGTTGAGGACCAGGTTGCCCAGGAAGCGGACATGCGAGTGCTCCACGTCGACTGCAAGGGGCAAAATGAGATTATTATTATTATTATTCTGTTGGGAGCCGCCCAGATGGGCAGTGTATAAAGAATAACGTTATTATTAGTAGTAGTAGTACAACAAAGCCAGTGGACCTGATGGGATACCTGCCGAAATCTTAAAAGTGGGTAGAACTTACACAACAACTTCACAAGCTCATCAAAAAAATCTGGGAAAGAGAAGAAATTACAGCAGACTTTAAGGATGCCAAAATTATCAATCTCTTTTAAAAAAGGTAACGGAACTGATTGTGGAAATTATCGAGGCATGTCTCTATTAGCTGCGGCCAGCAAAATTCTTGCAAGGATCTTAGCAAACTGTCTTGTAACAATATCCAAGGTGACCCTTCCTGAATCCCAAAATTGTTTTCGGCCTTCTAGGGAGACAGTGGACATGATTTTCACTGCTCGACAGCTTCAAGAAAAATGCAGAGAGCAAAACCAACCCCTGTATATGGCGTTTATTGACCTGACTAAAGCCGTCAACACTGTAAATCATAATGCCCTGTGGACTGTCATTCTGAAAATTGGCTGCCCTCCATGATTGGCTGCCCTCCTTCATTCGGCTCCTCTATGATTACCATATTTTTCGCTCCATAAGATGCATTTTTTCCTCTTAAAAACTAAGGGGAAAGGTCTCTGTGTCTTATGGAGTGTGCGGTCCCTGGAGCTAAAATGCCAGAATGCAGCACACTCCTGAGTTGCTCTTTGGGGCTGGCTGGTGAAACCCCGGGTGCCGGCAGATCAACCGGGGCTTCCCCCGCCAGCCCCTGAGCTGCTCTTTGTGGCTGGGGGGGGGGGACCCAGGCTTCCCCCTCCAGCCCTGAGCAGCTCTGGGGTAGCCTGCGAAGCCGCAGGGCAGCAGGATGAAAGCTCCCCGCTGCCCTGAGGCTTCGCGGGCTACCCCAGAAATCAGAACAGCTAGAGGGAGCGCTGCGCAGTGCCTCCGCAGGGCAGCGGGGAGCCTTCATCCCACTGCCCTGCGGAAGCTTCCCGCGGCTATCCCTGGCTTCTGCGGGAGGTGGGGGAAGGGACACTTCCCCCCACCTCCCAGAAAAGCCCCCAAGAGCCGTGCTCCCTTTGAAGAGCGCATGGCTCTTGTGGGAGGTGGGGAGAAAGCCAGTAGGCTTGCTTTCGCTGAAGCCAGGAGGGCAAGAGGGAATGGTGTGCACCGATTCCGCTTGCTCTCCTGGCTTCAGGGATAGCCCCGCAAAGCCTCCTGAGCGAAGAGCTCAGGAGGCTTTGCGTTGCTTTCTTATTTCTTGTTTTCCTCCCCTAAAAACTAATTGCATCTTATGGTCCAGTGCATCTAATAGAGCGAAAAATACGGTATATGACAGCAACAATCACAGATAACAATGCCTCTCAAAGTGAACCATTCACAGTGGGATCAGGTATTAAACAGGGTTGTGTTATTGCCCCAACTCTATTCATTATTTTCATTGCCATGATGCTACACTTTGTTGAAGGGAAACTCCCCACCGGAGTAGAAATAATATATCGAACAGATGGAAGGCTCTTCAATCTGAGCAGGCTGAAAGCAAAAAGTTAAGGTTACCATAACTTCCATCATAGAGCTTCAATATGCTGGTGACAATGTAGTGTGTGCACGCTCAGAGGATGACCTCCAAACCATCCTAAATACCTTTGCAGAAGCTTACAAAAAACCAAAGTACACCAACAAGTACAAAATAACCCCTCTGCAGCACCACAAATCCAACTCAGTGGTGTAACGTTGGAAAATGTCAATCACTTCTCCTACCTAGAGAGTTATCTTTCCGCAAGGGCTGACATTGATTCCAAAATCCAGAATCACCTGAGCTCTGCGAGTGCGGCTTTCTCCCAAATGAAGTGCCAAGTGTTTGAGGACCGGGACATTGGCAGGGAAACCAAAATGCTTGTTTACAAAGCTATTGTACTACCAACCTTACTATATGCTTGTGAAACATGGACCACTTATAAATGCCACCTCCAGCTTCTCAAAGATTCCATCAACAGTATATCCAAAAAAATTTACACATCACTTGGGAAGACAGGCAAACTAATATCCGTGTACTGAAGAAGCAAAGGTCACCAGTGTTGAAGCAATGATTCTTCAACAATTGGCCATGTTGTGGGGATGCCTGATTATCGTCTTCCAAAGCAACTACTCTATTCCGTACTTAAAAATTGAAAGCATAATGCTGGTGGTCAGCAAAAGAGGTTTAAAGACTGTCTCAAGGCAATCTTAAAAAATGTAGTAATAAACACCCACAACTGGGAAACACTGGCCTGTGAGCGCTCCAGTTGGAGAACAGCCTTGACCAAAGGTGTCATGGGCTTTGAAGACACTCAAACTCAGGACGCAAGGGAGAAACGTGCTAAGAGGAAGGCATGCTTGGCAAGCCCTCACCGTGGTCAACTCTCGCCCGGAAGCCAATGTCCCCACTGTGGAAGGACGTGTAGATCCAGAATTGGCCTCCACAGGCACTTACGGACTCATTGTTAAAACCGTGTTTATGGAAGACAATCTTACTCGGCTACAAGTGATTTCCAAAGAAGAATTATTATCGTTTGCCAAAGAACAGCAGCAGAAGAAGAATGAGCTTGAAGAAAAAAAGAATAGAAATTGAGATAATTATTCCTACTATTCTCATTATTTTCATCCTCATTTATCAAAGAACAGCAGTGCCAGAATAAGAAGGATCTTGAATGAGAATGAGCTGAAAAAGAGCAGGAGGAGAGGAGGAGGAGGAGGAAGAAGAAGAAAGTATTATTCCTATTATTATTATTATTATCATCATCATCTTCATTTGGCCAAGAACAGCAGCACCAGAATGAGAAGAATGAGATTGAATAAGAAGAATGAACTGAAAAAGAAGATGAAGAAGAAGAAAAAAAGAAGAAATTATTATTCCTATTATTATCGTTATTTTCATCATCATTTGGCAAAGAACAGCAGCAACAAAATAAGAATGAAAATGAGCTTGAATAAGTAGAACGAGCTGAAGAAGAAAATGAGATTATTATTCCTATCATCATCCTCATCATCAGGCCAAGAACAGCAGAACCAGAAGAAGAAGAAGAAGAAGAATGAGCTTGAATAAGAACGAACTGAAGAAGAAAATGAGATTATTATTCCTATTATTATTATTATTATTCCCATTATTATTCCTATTATTATCATCATCATCTGGCCAAGAACAGCAGCACCAGAAGAAGAATGAGCATGAATAATAAGAACGAGCTGAAAAAGCAGAAAAAGTTCATTCTTCTTTTTATTATTATGGCAGGGTTCTTTCCCTAATAATAATTTTAAAAATGAGCAAGCGACAGCAAAGGTTGCAAGGTTCTCAGCAGTAGTAGTAATAATAACAACAAGAAATTGAATTAACTTGATTGAAATCCAATGAATTTGTGCTATTAAATTAACTTGAATGAAATCAAATGAATTTGGGGGAAATGGCAATAAAACCTTGTCCCCCCCCCCATTTTTATTTTATTTTTTCCCATCTCTACCCAGCACACTTCCTCTTACTTGTGGCGCCCAGTCGGCGGGTGTCGCGGGCGATGTAGTTGGCAAAGATGATGGACCTCATGCTGGTTTTGCCAGAGCCGCTCTTGCCCATCAGGAGAACCTGGGGCGAATAAAGAATAAATCATAAAATTATTAATAAAATTGTTGTTGTTGTTGTTGTTGTTAGGGGTTAGAGATAGGGTGATGATGATGATGATGATGATGTTGGGAACCACCCTGAGTGGCTGGGGAAACCCATCTGGATAGACAGTGTATAAATAATTACATTATTTATTATTGAGGGTTGATTTGATTTCAATCAAATCGATTTAAATCACAACTTAAAAACCTCGTCAGTAAGATTTGATTTAAACCCCGTTTTACAAAAAAGCTTCAGCCTCGCTGGCATCCTATGAAATTGCTTCTATTTGGACCCCTTTTCCGCTATACTTGATTGGAAGGAGAAAAAGAATCATTTCCTTCATAACTCAACAATTTATTTCACTAAAACTAGAACATTATAGCATCACAATTTAAATCACGATTGAAACCACAAGTCAGTAAGACTTGATTTAAATCCTGTTTCTGGTTTAGGCTTGCTGGTATCCTCCTAATACTGACAACCGGAGGAAGCTTTCCTTTTTGGAATAATATATTTTCAGTGTAGTTTTCATAGTTACGGTATATCCAGGGTGAATTTGATATATCATTATCTCAAAAGTGACTGATTTGCTTCTTCTCTTAGAAATGTATAGACCAATAATTATGAAATGATGGTGAGGTTTAATAAGTCAACTACTTATATTTGGACAAGTTTTTTTTGCTGTACTTGATCGGAAGGAGAAAAATAATCATTTCCTTCATAGCAATTGAAACAATTTATTTTGCCAAAACAAAAACATGATCACATATGTATCCATGTTTGTTAGCTGATGTGCTGAAACAATTTTTTTAAATAAAAAAAACTTATGACTTGAAAAACTTTAAATGAATCCTTATTTCCTGATAAACAGCCTTTTCACTAGAAAGTAACTGAAAAGAGAAAATCTTGAGGAAGATTTTTTCCTCCAAAAGCAATTCACTTTAAAAATACGATTTAAATCAAAAAAATCTGATTTAATTTTTTTAAAAATTGATTTCTTTGTTGTTGTTTTATTATCCTTCCTTCCCATCAGACGTCCGGCTTCCGAAAACTGGAACATTTACTTCTGGGGTTTTTCGGCATTTGGGAGCCAAACTTTACAAAACAGGTGGGGATCCAAGGTTTAACTGTATAAGCAGCAGGCCAAGAGAAACTACAGCCCTCACCTTCTTCTTCATGGCTGCGTTTGGCATCACACGCCTGCAAGGAGAGAAAAATATATATTTATAATATAAATACAATACAATACTAATAATATAATATGACCCCACCCATTATAACATTATTATTAACATTATTATTATAGAAGTCACCTGGTGTGGAAAAGGTGAGGCAAAAGCAGCAGGCCCTCAGCCAGTGTTGTAATATGATAATGAGGATGATGATATAATAATAACAACA